GACCGATCTCCTCCCACAAATCATGTGCCCTGCCCTTCAGAAGATAGGATGCAATTCGAACCTTGTCCCCCTCGGGACATATGCTAGTGCGGAAAGCATTGGCCACATCCACCAACCATCTGGTACTCACAATGGGGTCTCGGGCCCCCTGGTAATCTGGAGATCCACAAGCTCTAAACTCCCTGAAGGTCAAGGTACGTGACGCTAACATGGCCGCTATCTCAGTAAGGAAAGCGCTCAACCTCTCATTAAGAATCTCTAGGATGCCCTCCTTGACCGTACCAAAGATCATAGGATTCCGGTCTAGTATGTTGTGTGTGATCTCTGAGGAGATGAACTCCCTAGTTTGCTCATCCAAATGCTCGACCCCCGAGCCAGAACCTGATCCCTCTCCGGCACCTGAACTGCCGACTGTTGGTCTAGGGCGTAAAACCACCATTCTGAAAACACAATATGACAACGTTAGAAACACTGATATAACTAGAAGGATCACATATACTACAAGCTTCATGGTCTCGTCTCAGCCTTCCTTGATTCGATTACGGATCCTCTGCTTCCGGTAGTATGGGCCCTACTACCTTCCACATCTATCCGTACTTTCCTCAAGAAATCACTTGACTCCACCAAGTCCCTTTCACTACTACTGCTACCTCTGCTACTAACTCTGCTCCCAGTAATACTCTAATCCTAGGCTTGCCCTAGGGTAACCTCCAACCTAAACCTAGTAATGAGCTACTGAAGGCATATTCGTAATGCCAATTAGCCACTACCTGAATACCATCACATGTGACGAGGCTCAGATAATCCTTTGAGTAAAGGACTCTTCCCTAGAACGATTGGACTCAGACAAGAGCTATGCAATAGGGCCAAATCTAGCACTCTGAGATTATTCAACCCTAATCACATGTGATGTGATGTATTCACCTAATGGCTAACTCCAATCAATCCGAGTCCCACAAAGCACAAAGCAAGTAGTATTCAGACAAAAAGGGAAAGTCTAACCAGAACATAATCAAGCAATTTTATCCACAAAACAAGAATCTGTACTAGCATACGATTCTAAGCTCATATTATTAGGCATAACCTAAACAGGCTATCATACTACTGTCTACCTGATACTAGCATGCAAGTCTCGTAAAGTTGAAACACATATAGCAGGCACATAAGGCATCCTTCCTAGATCCTTAGTCCTATTCTAGCATATTGTTCTACTGAAACTGATAATCATAACATAAACTTGCATTGGTAATTTGGGAGTACTTACTTGAGCTCAGCTGATCGCATGCACCACACCCTTTTCTTTTTCAAAAACTCTTTTCTTTTTAAGTTTCTTTTTCAAAATTTCTTTCGAATATGTTTTTCTATTTGACAATCATATACCATTTCCTTAGTTTGAGTTCAGACACACCCGAAAGTGTGTCCGAATCCCTCAAACCAAGGCTCTGATACCAACTTGGAACATCCCAAAAATACAAGCCAAAAATTTCGTTTGAAAACATTACTAAAACCATAATATCCAAATATCATATAAGAAAGCCATAAGTTGTGTGTCACAAAATGTCATAAAATGTGTCTCATATCAAACTAATGTCATGATCATGTCAAAATATCAGAGTCTAACTCACAGGCTAAATATGTGGTGTATGTCATGCCATCATCCCGAGCCCTTCCCCTTGCTAGTTGAAGTACCTGAAACTGTAAACATAAAGCTTAGTGAGCTCCCCCAAACTACCACATACCATGCAATAACAAAGAAAGCACATACTGGGCCTTGCCCACTGCATCGGACCGAAGTTCGGAACTAACTAGGGCCTTCCCCGCTGCATCGGACCGAAGTCCGAAACTGACTAGGGCCTTGCCCACTACATCAGACCGAAGTCCGGAACTAACTAGGGCCTTGCTCACTGCATCGGACCAGAGTCCAGAACTGACTAGGGCCTTGCCCACTGCATCGGACCAGAGTCCGGAACTGACTAGGGTCTTGCCCACTGCATCGAACCAAAGTCCGGAACTGACTAGGGCCTTGCCCAATGCATCAGATTGGATTCTGGAAATGACTGAACATAGCATAACATGATCATAACATATAATAATAACACATATACTGCATACTACATCGGACCACAGCCCGGGACACATAACACATGGACATGCCTGAATCACAAAGACATCAAGCATAATGAATTGTTGTTATCTAAACAGACCGACATTGTGGCTGTAGACCTGTTCCTACTGGAAGGAAACTCACCTCGAAGAACTGACTGTTGAGATATTGAGCGGGAAATGTCCGAATGCTGCTCCGGCAAATCCCCGACTACAATTACCATAAACACACTTAGTCAAAAACTGATAACTAATCTTAGGGTAAACTGACTATTTTACTCCTGGTTAAAGTCAATATCCTGGTTAAATTCAACTTCCAGTTGACCCGACTCACCGAGTTGGGCCGCCAACTTGCCGAGTCCTTATCCTTTCTTCTACCCCATACCTGGCTCTACTCGTCGATTTTAGCAAAGACTCTACGAGTTCTTCTTCTAAAACTCATCGGGTCAATCTTCATCCGACTCGCCGAGTTGTATGAACAACTCGTCGAGTTCATCTTCATTATATGAACACGTCCAGACTATGACTCGCTGAGTTGTATGAACAGCTCGTCGAGTCTGTTCTTGTGAGTAAGGAGGTTGCCTTGGACTCTCCGAGTGTGTTCTTACACTCGTCGAATCCCATGATTTCCAGTTTATGGCTATGCTTTAATATGTCGAGTTACTCCACCGAACTTGTCTAAATACCTGCTATCACTCAGCTGGGTTTCTTTGAACCACAACAGATTGGGGACTCAAGCCCCAGACTCGCCGAGTTCCAAGAACAACTCGTTGATTCGCCTATTAATCAAGTCTATAACTCAATTTCTGGTATACAACCCTCATCCAAAAGGTAGATTTAGGCTTCTAAGGTTGATCTAACACGTAAAGTTATGAACTTTACGTGCATGCATATATCATTGGTGCTTAAAAGGCCAAAAATGGAGGTTTTAGCATGCATGGGGTTCTCATGGCCCTAAAGATGGCACCTTTATGCCATGAGGACCCTTCAAGGTCCTAGATCTGATGGTGAATCGACTTAGGACATCCAAATCCCAAGAGTCAAGATTCTTAGCCCAAGATAACCATAAGAAGATTAACCCAAACCCATACCCATGGGTGTTATGATCCATGGGTCATGTGGCCCAACTCTTTATGTATCCATACATAAACTTGGTCCAACATGGATCATAAGCCCAACACATATAAATGTAACTAATTCCCATAATTAGTCCCCATAGATTCAATTAGTCTCTTTTGATCACAAAATTAATTCCAAATTAATTCTTGATCAATACTAATTAAAACATATGATTTCATATTAATATATTATAACTTATAATATATTAATAAATCATATATATAACCTTCTCTCAAGAATCCATCCTAACAAATTGTCCTAATGATATGCAACCCAAATGGACCATGCTACTCTCGGGTCAAGTACATACCAATAATAGTTATGGGCTTAGACATCTAATCCAACACTTACAACTCTTCGGTCCAATAAAATTAGTATTCCCCAGGCTCTTTCCTGGAGAGTGGTGGATGATTTTAGGCTGACGGATCGACTGGGACGGATCGACTGGCGTCATTTTGTACCCGTGTATTGCAGGATGATAGCGGTTTTGAGATTTTTGTCTGCTATGGATGGTCGCGGGTCGTCGGGGTTTAGGAGGTGATATACAAGGAGCTCTGGTAGGAGTTATTTTCTACAATACACTTTGACAAGGAGTCGACGTGATGGCTGATCGATCAGCTTTTGCTTTCACCTGGGAGGCGTATCCCGCTCCTGCAGCCTAATCAAGTTGGGGAGGCGTCTAGGGATTTACATTACTGAGGAGACTTTGAGTCCTCATTTTTATGCTTATCTTTCCCGCTGTATTACTACTTTACTATAGGAGTACGGCTACATGCAGGTCTGGGCCCACACCCGGGGACGTATATTTCCAGGATGGCCAATGAGAGCGTCTTCTATTCTCATATCTATCGTTTTATTCACTGATTGGTCGCTTCTACCATTTTTCACCGGTAGGAGTGTGATAAGGTTCCTTCTGGTGACCTTTTCTATATATAGTGCCTCACTTAGATGGAGGTTTGCCTTCATTTTCCTTTTACTCTTGCTCTATACTTATCTAGGATGGCTCTAGGTTCAACACCCTTAAGCAGGATTTGTGAGGGTTACTGTGTTACTAGGTTTGCCTTATCTTATGAGGTTTAAAATAGTGGGATGGTTCCAATACCTATCCAGGAGTTGGGTACTATCACTCTTGAGAAGATACTGGTGTTGGTTCAAGGAGTGGGGCAATAGTGGAGGATGACATCATGGAGCCGATTCAGCAGGTGGAGCGGGGGGACATCCTTAAGCTTGCCTTCATGATCTATCAGAGGCGTAGCTATGCGGAGCCTGACCAGCTGGATCTGACTCTACATGAATTGATGTAGTAATTGATTATTTCACATGAGGAATATCGTTGGATTATGGCTTCGATCTTTATGGTGATGCGCTATCTCTGGATAGACCATCCACTTTTTCCTAAGGCAGGTCCTGCTGTTCCACCCCCTTCTCATCCATAGGGTGTTGGTTATGATGTTGCAGGCACTTCAAGAACTCATCCCATAGATACTGATGATGAAGACGAGGATACGAAGGATAATGAGGCTAAGTATGAGCATAGCGATGAGTATGTTGAGGTTTTTGGGTTTGATATTTTTTATTTTGATATTTACAATGTATTTTGATACACTTTATGTATATTGGTTGTATTTGTATATATGATTTTTGTTTTATCATTTATTTATCCCTAATTCAGTCGATGTATTGGTTTAGTCCATAATAAACATAGTTGATCAGTCTATGTTTAGGAGTGAATCAACTTTTACATACTAAACCATTTTGGATATCAGTTTTATTTTTAGATTTATATATGCTATTCGATATTGGTGATTATTATTTTTTTGTACTTATATACTATGTAAGGCTTGGCCAAGTGGGATCAGTTAGTGGGCAGAACCATTTTGGCATATAGTTGTTCTGAAATTCAACAACCCAAGATGACAGTTCCAATAGGAACCTCTCCAGTACGTAATCTATCAGTAGGTTAATTAACATTAATACTTTAATATATAGGTTTGAGGACAAACCTAATTAGAGTATATGTCCTAAGATATAGTCGTAACTCCTAAAGAAATATTATTCGCTATAGCAGCTAGCTTTGTTACCAATCTATCACACCCTCCTCGGCCGCTGGTGTAAAATGTCGAGTGGTGACGGTATAAAGATTTCCCAAATCACAGAGCGCCAATCATAATTACCTATCTAAATGTAAAGTTTCATGAGATAATCCTTCCTTGACTTCATCTTTACTCCATCTTAGGAATAACGGTTTTTGAAATGTCAACTTGATGCTGGCGAGTGCACTGGTTTTTACAATTTTTGGCTTTTATTTAGTTATATTAATTTAAGAATCCACTTTGTTTAGAAAAACATTTCCTAATATATTTTATCAACACAAGCTTACTATCTTTTGGGATATCTAACAATCATATCTTATTATCTTTTAGGATATATTTATTAATCCTAATTTACTATCTTTACAGGATATCTAATGATCCTTTCTTATTATCTCTTAGGATATCTATTCATTCTATCTTATTATAACTAAGATATCTAACGATCCTATCTTATTATCTTTTAGGATATTTATCTAATCCTAATGTATTTTAGCTACCATTCCAATGTGCCCCTAATTGTCGTTTGAAGTCTAAGGTGATATAATGTATTACCATGAGCCCCCATAATCGACATTGGTTTACTAATAATTTGTTCACCACGGCACTTCATCGGACATCGAATAGTCAATAATAAGAAAGTTATCCTGTCGGGATTGTAGCTAGCAATCACAAGTGGGGTTGTCATACCCCGTATAGATTTATATATATGTTTCTGGCTCTCGCAAGATTAACGATTATAGGTATCGGGGAATGTCGAATTTAATCAAGGCCTTTAGATGAGTATAACAACTCAATAATGCATTGACCTTGTTTGTTTATCATTTATCTTTCAATTCTTCCTAGGGATTCCCTACAACTATCACAACATAAATCTTTTATCTTAAATTTGATAATTATAACTTTTGATCTCATAATTATTTTGTATATATAAGTATTCATATATATATATATATATATATATATATATATATATATATATATATATATATATATATATATATACCCTAATTATGGTTATTTGAAAACAAGATATTTGGACAGAGTAACAACTAGGTACGGTGCATATCCCTATATTTGACCAACATAACTTCTAGGTACTACATTATCCTAGCGATTTGGCCATTATAACACATATGTATTATCTATTCCTAGACTACCGAGGATCATATCTCTTAGGGATAATATCATAGCTTACAACTAGGCATAGTATCTATAGCTACATTATCCTAAGGCTTTAAGATTTATAAAATGATTTGATATTTATAGATATAAATATATTTTGATAAAACCATATGATAAGCATGTATCCCCCCTGGTAAAACATTTAAAATTGTAAAATAGGGGTCTTGAACTCACTCTAGTAGCGTATTCGGAAGCATATGAGCCTTTGCATCCAAAGCTTCGGGCCATCAAGAGGGTCTCTGAAAATAGTTTGAGAGGTACAAAGAGAGTGGTTAGAATAAGAAAATCAAAAAGTGAGTACCTCTATGGTGGTTGTGCACACACGCACTTCATGCACCGCGTGCACTCGCTTCGTGGCTCTATCCAGAGATTTCCACGTGTCATACTTCTGATGGTCCACGTCTCCCTAATCCGACAAATCTGGGTGTTAGGTGTGCGCGATGCGCATGACGCACACTTGGCGTGCACCCGTAAATATTTTATAAAAAGTCATATTTTCCTTATATGAATCTTGTTTCTTACCTTCTTTATATATATTTTTGTAGCTATATACTAGTACTACAACTTTCCTTAAGTTCGCATTGTCAAATTCTGATTTTTGTTTTTATCCTTATTTTATCCTTTTCTAAAAATCATATATCCTTCATACAAATTCTATTTTTGACCTTTTTCCTTTCAAAGTCCTTATCTTATGGGTTACTACGACATTCCTTTTAGTGACGTTAGCTGAAACTCAACCGATCTCTATATGTTATTTTGACACTAATAGCGTTATTAACGCGGTTGGTTTTTATCTTTTACAAAAATCATAACTACTCAAATTGGAGTCAGATTTTTTTTAATGTTTATATATTTGGGATCACTTTTTTGTGTACTTCCAAACAAACTAACCGTCGTAAAAATTTATGTAACTTTTTTGTCACTCATTTTTTGTCCAAATAGTCATTGGACTGGAATACATTCGGGTCTACAGCCATCGAGCTGGATTACCCCTGGCCCAATCAATCATCAGACTCGAATGTCTCAGCCCAATCAGTCATCAGCCTGGAATGCCAATATGCAGCGGATCTAATTAGTCATTAGATAGGAATAGCCTAGTTTATTGACTCACACTCATAACAATAAAGCCTTAACCCAAAACCGCATTATGTCGACATTTGTAACAAACATACAACCAATTAGCAGGCAAACACGCAAATCTATAGATCACTACCACATAGCAACATCATATATACCAGGATACAAATTTAACATATCACTACAACATAATGACATCTAATATACGAGGATACAAATCTAATGGGTCGGCATTGGTGCCTTCGACCCACAAGTACAGTAAGGAAAACTAATCTCATAGTCCTCTAAATGCCGACTCTACAGGTCACCTATACAACAAACAATTACCTGTTCTCAAAATACTGCTCAAAATACCCAGAATACCCCTAGGTCAAAGTCAAAGTTAAAAAATCAAGAATCCCTTTTGGGTTGCATATACCCAGCGTACTCCCCTCTACGCCCAACGTAGAGGGTGCGTTCGCAAATCCACAGGCTTAGATCCTGGTATTACAACGTACCTCCAGGTATGCTCAGCCTACTAGAGCTGACCCAAATTTTTTCCATTAAACTCTTATGTCATTTAGTCAAGGCACCAAACTTCAGATCCAAACGGCATGTCGATTCCTACTCTGATACCAATTGAAAAGATATCTAATCAGTAAATGTAAATCAGAGTACTAATTAAACACAATATGTAAATAAGATCTTTAATTCAACTCAATATCTAGATTGGTACAAGTCGGAAGTAAAGGGAGAAAGTGCAAGCTCATAATGGCGTAAAAGTTACTAACTGACTTATGTACCTACTCTATTTATAGAGTACTTAGCGGATGCAAAATGCATACTAGGAATTCGACATTACAGTTGAGTGACCTAAATTTTTTATTAAACTCTTATGTCATTCAGTCAAGGCATCAAACTTCAGATCCAAACGATATGTCGATTCCTGCTCTGATACCAATCGAAAAGATGTTTAATCAATCGTAAATGTAAATTAGAGTACTAAACACAAGATGTAAATAAGATATTCTATTTAACTCAATATCTAGATTGGTACAAGTCGGAAGTAAAGGGAGAAATTACAAGCTCATAATGGCGTAAGAGTTACTAACTGACATATGTACCTACTCTATTTATAGAGTACTTAGCGGATGCAAAATGCATGCTAGGACTTCGACATTACAAGCAAACCTACAAAAGTGCCTAGTAAAATACTTACAATACCGAAAGGAAGTCTCAATTTGAAATCTTCTGAGTTTCAATCAAGATACAACCAACATAAATATGTGATGCAATTCTAAAAGTGGGTGCTTAGTATCATCTTCAAACCCTCTCATCTAAACCTTGCAAAATTGTTTAGCCGCAATGGGTAATGGAGAGCCCATTTTCATGTAACAATATATATTTTTTTAAATGATATTTTTGTAATAAGTTAAGATTAACGGTAAAATATATACAAAAAAGTTTAATGGTAATATATATATATATATATATATATATATATATATATATATATATATATATATATATATATATATATATATATGTTTAATGGTATAAATTATAATGCATACATAATAAACAGTAAAATCCACCTCAGCAGGGCAACTGCTGGTGACTTATTATTATCGTTAACATAATTGTATTTTTTGAACAAAATATTAAGTTTAATGATAATATGTGTGGAAATGATATTGTTATATATATATATATATATATATATATATATATATATATATATATATATATATATATATATATATATATATAGAAAGAGAGAGAGAGAGAGAGAGAGAGAGAGAGAGAGAAATAAGTTCAATTGAGAAAATAAAAGAGGTTGAGAATTGAGGAATCATTGTCAGCCACTCATTTATTTGCCGCAGAAACCTTCGTCGTACCATTGGAAATGAGAAAGGATACACATGTGTTTTCCAACAAAACATGTTTCCTTAAACTATGTTAATCATTACCTTAATATATATAAAAAAACATAATTTTTTTCGTTTTTAAAATTTTTAAAAAACTATTTTTATCGAAAAATGATTTTAAATATACCAAAATTCATGATTTTTTATTCTCTACAAATAGATATCCATATTGATATAGTTTTAAGATAAAATAATTTTTTTTATATATTTTTTCAGCTATGGTTATTCATATGTGAATAAAAATGTATCAGATTTTTAGTACAATACATTCGTTATTCACTTATGAATAAAAAATATGATTAATTTTTTTTGACAGATGAAGTATCATTCATATATAAATATAACATATAATAAACTATTTACTAGTTACATCAACTTTCGTCACATGTTATATTCAGATATGAATAAAATATATATTGACTTTCCTCACAAATTATATTAATATACAAATAACACATTTATTATAATTTTGTCACACTTCATTTGTTATTCTTATATGAATAACTAGTTCAAATTTTCAAAACACTTTATCTTTTTTTAGCGTACTAATTTTTTATATATGAATAACAAATGGACTGTAATAAATTTTTTATAAATGTTTTATTAATATATAAATATAACATATAACGATAATTAATACACGTTTTATTCATATATAAATATAAAATGTAATGAAAGGTGATGTAAAAAAATATATTTTAGGTAAGAAAACTTTATAATGTGCTATATTCATATATAAACGATACTTAAACTGTAAAAAAGTTAAACATACATTTTATTCATAAGTGAATAACGAATGTACCGTAATAAAAACATGTTGTGTTTTTATTCACTTATAAATAACGATATCTGAAACTCTATTTTTTTTTTATCCTAAAACTATATCAACATGAATGTCTATTTATAGAGAATAAAAAATAAAATTTTGATATAATTAAAATAGTTTTTCGATAAAAATAACATTCTAAAAAAACAAAAAAAAAAGTTTTTATATATATTAAGGTAATGATTAATATATTTAAAAAAAATATATTTGGTTGGAAAACACATATATATCCGTTTAATCATTTCGTCGATACGTCTAAGTTTTTTGCAGCAAAATAAATGTGTGGTTGAAAATTATATATATATATATATATAATATATATATATATATATATATATATATATATATATATATATATATATATATATATATATATATATATATATAACAATTAATTAGGAAGTCAAAAAGATATTTAAATTATTTATGGATTAAAAAAAATCCATAAATAAATATCAAGATTTGGAGTTAGAAATGTGAAAGGGGAAAAATGCATTGCAATTTGTTGAGGTATAAAGGAGAATGCAAAAAATTTGCTTCAAATCAATCGCAACAAGATTTATGGTCTTTCCCTTTTACCCTTTTTTTCTTCTCATCTTCTACACAACAAACTCCCTAATTCAGACCAAATATCTTCATAATTACGTTTCATCATCAATTAATTTGCAAAACAACCCAAAATTAACTTAAAAACTCCTCAACCATCTTCATAAATCTCTCCGATTTCTTGCATTTTCCGCCTCTTGAACTGGCAATGTTGAATCGAGCACACAGAAAGCAAACGGGGTTGTGATAGCTGAGCAAACGAAAACCCTAAAAGCATCCACAATTATGGAAGGTATGACCACCCTTTTGACCCCCTTGGTTCAATTCGAGATCACTTCGACTGAATTTTAATTTATTAAATTACTTTGTTGTTGTTCCATTTTCGATTGTATGCATCTGCTTTTTTGTTCACAAATATGATATGTTGTTTTTCTGCTACTTTTCGTTTGCATTTTTACAAACTATATGCAAATTTTAGTCGAACGACTTTATCAATTGGTTGTTCTTTGTGATACACTCCATCATTTACAAAAGAAGGAACACTTTGATTCCCAAGTCTCAGCTTCAAAGTTAATGTAAAGTTTCTACTTTTTTGTACACAGCTGATTATTACACCAAAAAACCCTATAAGAAGTTGGTGTTAAATTATAAAACAAAGTCAAGATCATCTATCTTAGAACAATACTAGGTTAATCTTAAAGATAAACCTGCACCTCTTTTCATTTGACATCTGAGGAAGTGTGTTTGGGCATTTCATATGATTTTGTTCTATTATTATAGAGAAGTTATAATTTGTAATCTATCTGTAATAAGGGAAATTGCTTGTATTTAATTATCTTGGATTACTCGAGTATTGTCAATGTCATGGGGTGAATAATGATCAATTTAGGGGCTAAAGGCACATATATAGGTTTATGGTTATAAAGCCATTAAACTATTTAAGATCCGAATCAATTGTAGTATTGGGCCAAAAAGAAAATAAATTACAGCCTAGTTACTATGTAGCCTTGTATTGGAACAGAGACCGATGTGAATGCAAAAGACGTAAATGCCCTCCTCAACCTCATCATGGAAAATAAATATACCATGAAAGGTCTGATTTCTTAACATCTAATGAGTGCAATGGCCACCTTAGTTTCCCACTCCCTCCATGGAAAGTTGACATTATTAAAAGGTATTTTATTTGTTCTCTTTCTCAATAAGCATGCCAATCCAAAGGAGGATAATTATTTTGGCATGAAGGGACACGAGTTTATGTAGTTCTCTAAAATGGAGTGCTTTCTAGAACCATCTTCAATGATGAGGATGAGGAGGGCATTCACGTCTTTTTCAGTATGCTATATATATTTCTTCCCTTATAATTATCAGTGTAGTTATGAATCTTTTGTGGTTTTTATTGTAGAACCTCAAGAAGTTCATACTGATGAGATTAGAGCTCTTCCTGAGAAGAAACAGAAAAGAATTGTCAAGACACCAGCTCAAGTTGCAGCACTAGAGAATTTCTATAATGGTATGCTCATTTCATTATATATATATATATATATATATATATATATATATATATATATTAGTTTGATTTAGTTAAATGCAATAAATTGGAACACACTTTCATTGTTTTATAACTATGGCATATTGGCATCTTACTTCCATTCTTCCTATTACAACATTATACTTTTAAAAATTTACTCAGTTATAGCAATGTCATCCAAATACAAACTGATTTTCTGCTATAATTCGATATGTTCTTGAAAATAAAGGTGAAGTATAATGTGGTGGTAGATTTTGTAGGTTTAATGGTATAACAGGTTTTGAAAAGTAATAGAAAGAAATGGAAGTATGAATGAATGTAAGAATACACAAACAAACAAATTGAGGGTTAGTGTAATGTAAGATATAAGTAAAGATTCTTGATTCTGTTTACAGAACATAAATATCCAACAGAGGGAATGAAACAAGAACTTGCAGACTCAATAGGATTAACTGAGAAGCAAGTTTCAGGGTGGTTTTGTCACCGAAGATTAAAAGACAAAAAATCACCAAATGATGAAATCCTGCCACCTGGCAATGGCAAACAAGATCGATCAAGTGGTGTCATACAGGATCGTGGCAGTGGCCTACGACAAGATTCCTGTGGAAGCACCAAACAAGGGGACAACAAACACTCTGATCCTAAAGAAGTTGAAAGCAGAAGATTCACAACTCAAAACATTCTTCCATTACAAATTCAACATAACAATGTTATCATGGATCATCATCATCATGATGTTGATCGTGTTGATCATGATGGTAATGATGATGATGATGATGATGATGATGATGATACGTCTTCTGGAAGCAGCTCCCCGTTGAAGGATAGCTTCCACCCGCAAAATGTCGTAGGGGCGATAACGTCAAAATACCCAAGTCATGATTTTAAAAGTGTGAGGGGGAGGGGTGGCCCATCGGGGTATTTAAAGGTGAAAGGTCAAGTTGAAAATGCTGCAATTACAGCTGTCAAGAGGCAATTGGGCAGACAGTATAGAGAGGATGGCCCACCACTTGGTATTGAATTTGAGGCCCTTCCTCCTGGTGCTTTTGAGAATCCGGTCAAAATTCCGGTCAACCGTAAGTATCCTATCAACATTTTTTTTATATTATATCATCTTATAATGCATTTAGTATGTGGTTTTCTTTCTCTATACTTGTATAAAATCTTACTTGTTTAGGTATAGTGGCTGAATGGGTGATGTTGAATAAACTATCTGAATGAGACTAAATGACCATTTTATCCTTACATTCCTTAAAACAAATTTCACAAGAGCTATTAGCTTTCTGTTCAAATTAAGTCAAAAAGAAGCAACCATGTATAGCTAAAGGGTTTGTGTTTTAATACATTAAGCCAGTTTTTTTTTTTTTTTTTCCTTAACCCATTAAGTCTTTCTGTTCAGATTAAGTAAAAAAGAAGCAACCATGTATAGCTATACATATTAAGTGCTCAACACATTAAGCTCATTAAGTCAAAAAGAGCTATTATTGTTATGGGAAAAGCCTTGTTTCCCTGACTTCTTCTATTAAATCGTTCTTTCTGCATTAAGTAGAAAAGAAACACATATTTATAGTTTATGTTACGAATTCTAATAAGTTTTTTCTGTAATAGGTTTGTCCAAATTATATTTTACGGTTTTACCCTTACCTATTACTTCTTGATGTTCTTCCAGAATCCTACTATGTTGGTGACCGCAGTGCAAGTGCACTTCATTCATCGGATGGTTCTAGAACATTTCAACCTCCTAATGCAAGCAAGGTATGCATTCCTTCTTCCAACTTTCTTGGGGGCAATTTAGGGACTTGAATTAATCAACTTAGGAATTTCTTTTCTACATATACATTAACAATTACTTATCCTTATTTCTTAAACATGTTTGTTTTTCCTGATGAAATCATGGAATGGACCATTTTTATTAAAAGTAGATGATACTTTTATTTTTGATATAGTTTTCTTTGGGTTTTAGTGAGCTTTTAATATGATTTACTTTTTATATTTTGTAAGTAAAAGTTCATTGATTTTGATTAAAATAATGTGTAGAGTAGAGTTGAAGTTATACACTGTATTTACATATATAAAAAATTTGAATGAAAGATTATGAATTTCGTAAAACTAATCTTATTCTATATATTATTTAAATGTAATTATAACAAAACTAAAAAAAATAAACATAATAAAAGCTCATTAATACCCAAATGAGAATATAGTATAACAATATTTTCTAGTTATTTAAAAAAGGAATCATAATTTAGTTAAGAATGGGTTATATTACATCTTTTCATTCCATTCCATTATGGAATGAAAGAAACTAAAATGGAAAGAATCAAATTCCATGAGAAATGGTCCATTCCATTCCATCGGGCAAAGCAAACAACTTTTTATCATTCCATTCTTTCTCCAATTCCATCATTCCAAAACACTAACCTAATGTTTTCCTGTTTTGATAAGCAGATGTATGAAAGATACAATCCAAAGAGCTACAATTCCATGGATTTGGATAATTCACCTTTAGACATAAGGCATGCATCCAAACATCGTGAAAAACACTTTGACAACCAATATAATAATAATAATAATAATAATCATAATAATAATAAGCAAACACCTCATTTTTCCAAAAATAGACATTCTCAATCGATGGAAGTAAATGATGATTCTGCTGAAGAAACTTCAATTCATGACATGCGGGACCACTTTGAGACAAGAATAAAACATGTTCATGGTCATGGTCCAGGTGTAAGGAGACAACAAGATTCTGTATCTGTATCCAATCGCCATCTGATTGGCTATGGGAAAAACATTAACCACAATATCAGACCTCCACCAAAAGTCAACTATAGAGATCGTGTTGAATCTTTGACTTCTGATTTGACTGTTAAACGTGGTGAATTTCTTGAATTGGAGGACAGGGGGATGTCTAGGAAGATACCTAAGGTCTAAAGTCGAAACCATAACTTTTTTTTTAATGGATAAATCCAAGAAATTGCAATTTATTTTTATTACAAAGTTGCATTTTGAAAAAATTCTATCCAATTGTAGCATTGAAATCTGCTATAGTTGGATAGATTTTTCAAATTACAATGCTGTAATAGGTAAAGCTGATATTAGGATGCTATAAATAAAAATCAATGAAAGTAGATTGCAATTTCTTGCGTTTACCCCTTGTGTGAATTACCATTTTGCCCATTTTTTGAAAAGAAGTTATACCCTGATGTATGGGAATGATGTGTAGGATGAAGAATTCGATGGAGAAAGAAGAGGAATAGATGAATACTCCAAATTGGTTTCTGCAAGAATTCATCCGGGAAATGAAATGAAAGTGAGTATATGCAAAAATTACTTTAATACATAGGCATTGTTCAAATTTTGAATTCAATTTTCTTTTAATTAATATTGAAGGTTACTAAGAGAAGTAGGGAAGAGTTTCTACATCAAATGTATCCAAGGAAAGAGGCGGTGATTGACATGCCTCCAAGAACCATCATGACCAAAAGGTCAGTGCTAAGCACTTTATACGCTTCTGACATGACAAAACAGGTTGTATTGTGTTTGACTTTGACTTTGACTTTGACATGCATTGGATTGAAAGTGGGACACATGTCAATGGGACAAAAATTGAAAATATTTTGTTCCACCATAAGAGGTAAAACAAAGGTGGGATAGTGACTTGCTCTGAGACTCTTTCCTATGCTAAAGGCACGAATGCCCTTATTCTCATCTAGGGCTATTTTCGTAGATGAGGATGAGGGTATTTGTGTCTTTTGTATAGAATTGAGATTGAGAGATAGTCCATGTCATCTATGCTTTTGGGACAAAATATTGCAATTTTTGTTGTTTTGTCATTCTTTTCTTTTGATCATTTTTCGCTAGATTTAGCAAATTTTGTTAAGCTTTTTTCTTGGTATAATATAATAGATTTATTAAGACGAAAATACCCTCAGTCGAGTATAGAGTGACACACCATCCATAAAACAAATTGCCACAAACCTTGGACAAGTTGACTTTAGATTTGACCGAACCTACTGCTCAATATCAAATGTACAAGGAAATGTTTCTTTAGTTTAATTTATACATACAGTCTTGCCTTGGCCCAAAGGTCAAGGGATAAAATCGTCAAAACAGGTTCTTTGCAAAATATAAGGAAAATGCCATGTCAAAACAGGTTCTTTGCCCAAAGGTTAATAAATTATATATATTTTTAAACAACTAAGAACTATATTCATAACTTGTTATCTTTTTTTTTTTCTTATAATTTTCTGACATGACATCACTTATTTGCAGGCCGCCTCCTGCACAAATGACGTCTAGTTTTAGTGACGATGAAACCGCAGAAACCACTTCTTCAGCCGATTAAGAAAATTGACAAGATTTTATGTTGTGAAAGCAAAATCTAGTTGTTTAATAGTTCGAATTGTAAGCATGATTCATAACTTAAGGTTTTAAGTTGCAAACATATCTATTGCATTGCTTAACCTTTTCTTTCAAAGTTGTATATATAAACAGTTTTTGTCAAAATATATTTGATGGAACAAGTCGATTTGTGCTTATCGTGCTTCATTGTTATGGACAAACAAAATATCACAAAACAGAACAAGATGTACTGTGTTTGTAGACTGAGAGTGCGTTAGACAGATGTTGATGAGATAAAATTTGTAATTTTTTTTCCTCACCAAAAAAGGGGGAAATCTACTCTTGTGTAATAGATATAAATGTCCTCTTGGTATCCATGGAAAATGGTCCTAAAAAACAATTTGGGGGCCTATTAGACACATGCTTTACAACCAAAGACCTAAAAGAAGCAATAATTGTGTGGAAAATTTGGTTAAACTTCCCATCTAAGGCCCATCATTGGGATACCGAAGACAATCACAAGAAGCAATATACAACTTTTAGGTGCGTAATAAGGACGTGACATGTAATATGTTTAGCATATATTGGATTAAGATTGATATTAATTTGACAAAAAAATCTAATTAAAATTTTGATCCAGAAGAGGTGGGATTGAGATTCGTTCTTGAGATGTCTTTTTTTGTAAAAGATGTAAATGTCGTCATCCTTGTTATTGAATAGTTGTAGGAAACTTGTTCGGTTTAGTTCCTCTAGTTTTTGTCATGTGTAAGGAGTACAATCTTATTACACGAGGTTTGTATGATTGTAGTTGATGAAGAAATGGAATAGGCAATAAGTTAGGCTTTATGGTTGTGGTAATGCTTGGTTTGATTATGGAAAATGATAAAAGGCATTTCATATCATGGGAGCATGAACATGGACATGTCAAAAAGTAGGAAGGACCATTTGATATTTTGATGTGGGCACAATTATGCCTTTTTTTTTTTCCCTTTGAGCCCCTAAAAGGTCCTTAAAAGGTTTATTATCCCCATAGTGTTGTACCCTATCAATGGTTTTCAATATCCAAAAGGATTGGCTTAGTGATGAATCATTGTGACATGTTATCTCGTGTAACATCAGGTTTCAAGTTTTTTGTATGTCTCTTGGATTGAAAATCTTAAAGGTTCTTTAAATCGTCTATTTTTTGGAGCTTTAAGTATGTATTGATATTATTTTGATAGAACATGTTTCTTTGAATATAGTGCATATAGATATTTTCAAGTTATTGAAACTTGCAATTTTCGAGCTATTTGAGCTTTCTAATCGAACTAAAATCTCCCTTGAGTTCATATATAGAGATTCATTGAACGATTGAATTAAGTTTGAGCCTTACATAATACTCTGGAATTAAGCTAAAGCTAGTCCATACTCGTTGGACTATTAGTATAGTCATTTTAAGACTTGCAATTAGCTAAGTTATAATATTAGTAGAAATTAAGACACAATCAAAGTTTGTCATGAAATGAGATATACTATAAGTAAAACAAAATTTTCTATTGTTATAGTTTGATACGTATGTTTAAGTTTATTTATCTTAATTATGAAAGATATAAAATAATAAAAAAATTGAGTAATCTAATCACTTTTTGGTGTATTTTTTTTAATAACCTATTTATTTATTTATTGTTTGCAAAATAACATTTTTATCTAGAATGGGCCGTTCTGGAAACAATTTTGGACTCGATATCTATAGGGTCAGCCTATAAGTATCTAAATATAGGGAATATAATTGACCCTTAAGTAAAACTGAATACTCCTCTCGTCTGTTGTTTCAGTTGTTTCAGGAAAACAACCCTGCTATGTTAACCTTTTAAACCCAACCGCCATCCAAATCATGATTCGGCATCAAGTCTCTGATGCATTGGAGAACCTCAGAGTTAACCATGGAGAATGAATTAGCAAGGAAGGTAGTCAAACCTACCAAGATTTTCTCCGTAGTAAGCCAGTCTTTCTATGGAAATGAAGGAGTAAATAGTTTGATCCACTGGATCAAAGGGATAGAGATTGGGTGTAATAAGGAGGTTAGGGTATACTTTGCAACTTGAACACTTATGGGAAAGGCCCTCATCTGGTGGGGTATCAAGGTAAAAGCCTTAAGAGTAGATGCAGCCTATGCAATCTCTTGGGAAGAGTTGAAAAGGCAAATGATAAGAGAATCATGTTCTATAGGAGATATGGCCCGAGTAGAACATGAATTCAGTCAGTTAAGCACTAGGAACTCCAGTCTAGCCATCTACACCATACGCTTTGAGGACCTAGCCACGGTATGCTTAGAACTGATTGGCTCGAAGAGTAAGAAAAAAGTACATATATAACATCTCAAAATTTACGACCAATTTTTTTTTTATTAATATAACAATTATAAAACCATTTGTCTGAAAACAACCATAGTACCAATTCATATCAAAACCAAAGTATCAATAGTCAAAACATGTAATGATAAAACAACATTAGAGTAAAAATCCCTAAGATCTCCAGTGCGGAAAATATAGTGTGATGCACTGTGATCATGCCGACTCCTTTCCCTCCTAAGAGGAAGTACCTGAAACCAAAACTGAAAACCGTAAGCACAAAGTTTAGTGAGTTCCCCCATTATACCACATACCATATAATAAAATACTACCTAGCATATTCGGGTGTTGGCATGCCCGTTCGGTCTCTTTCAGCTGGTAACTGCCTAGCATATCAGGGTGCTGGCATACCCCTTCGATCTATTTCAACCGATAAATGCCTAACATATCAAGGTACATGCCTACCCCTTTGGTCTCTTTCAACCGGTAACTGCCTAGCATATCAGGGTGCTGGCCTACCCCTTCGGTCTCTTTCAGCAGGTAACGAGGACTATTTCACCCTTACGACTACCACATATCATCCTAGTACATAAACACATAAGTTACATACTGCCTAGCATATTTAGGTGCTGGCCTACCCCTTCGGTCCTTACAACCGGTAATGGGGTCTATCCTACCCCTCTTACCATTATCACATAATATCATAGCATACTGGCACATAAAGCATAACATATAGTGGTATACCAGATAATTATCACAAAGACAATCATCTCAACTATAATTAGCTAGTAGTGGGCCGATATTGGTGCCTTCGACCCACTTCTTCTGGAAGGTAACCTACCTCAATGCTGTAAAGTAGTTGTAAATCCTTGGCTCCTGGCAATCCACCTAACTCAAACTCCTATACATAAAAGATTTCCTTAATTACCCTTTCATACTCATGACCCCTTAAGGGTTAACTTTGTTCAAAGTCAAAGTCAACATTCTGGGTTGACTTAACTCGCCGAGTTGGCCCATCAACTTTCCGAGTTCCATAAAAGATAAAACATTGAAATCACGATCCAACTCGTCGAGTTCTTTCACGAACTCATCGAGTTCCTCCTATCCACAAAATTAGGACTTTCCCACCCAAATCGTCGAGTCCATCCTTAAACTTGTTGAGCCTTTCCTTTTACAGAATCGGGGTATTTCGACTCAACTCGTCGAGTACCTCTATGAACTCAGCAAGTTCTTCAGTCTGCTAAGCTTCCTTAATGTGTTAAGCCATTATTCTTCGAGTCTAAGTCCTATATTCTATATTTGAGTCGAAAACATCTCTAAGAGGGTAAAGTTTCTGACTTTACCCATTAAGACCCATCCTAGAAGAAATGAGCCCTAACCCTAGCTCAAAATGGCTTAGTTCCAACTTCAAAAACATCAAAACTTCAAGATAATCCATAGGATCATAGATCTGGAATCTAGGGATAGTTTGATCATGTAAAACTCCTATATTTACTTAGATGCATAAACTATTTGGCTCAAAAGGCCGTCCACAAGTGGCATGGGACTTCCATGGCCATAAAGTTGGCACCTTTATGCCATGAAGTCCCCTATAGACCCTAGATCTGAAAGGTTTGTCCCCATGGGACGTCCAATTCCCAAAGACCAACATTCTGTTGGATTAGTGTCTAAGTCCATAACTATTTTGGTATGTACTTGACCCGATGGTGCATGGTCCTTTTGGATTGCCTTCACCAAAGCAACTTGATAAGATGAATTATGGAGAGAAAGGATTAAATATAATTTATTAATATATTATGAGAATAATATATTAAAGGAGAAATCATATTGTTTAATTAATATTAGTCAAGAATTAATGAGAATTAAGTTTGTGGCTAAAAGAGATTAATTAAACTTAAGGGACTGAAATTGTAATTATAAGATAATTGCAATTGGGATATGGATTACCTTATTATATAAGGTTGAACGAATTCTATGGGGAAACCCATTAGAAATCGTCCAAGGCTTGTTAAGGAAGGAGTCCATGGGTTGCTTAGGGATTAAGCATCCAAATTAGGGTTTCCTTATTAGATAACCCTAATAGCTTCACTATTTAAGGACCCCTTGGGCACCAAAAACGTGGGTAACTGAATCCTTAGGGTTCTACACGTTTTTGGGTGTTTCTTCTTATCTCTTCTTCATCCTCTTGCTCTTGGTGTTTGTGAACCATTAGAGGAGTGACATTTGTGACTCTAAGCTTTCTAAAGTCAATACAAGAAGGATTTGAGATTGTTATTGCTACATAACAATCAAGGTATGATCTAAACCATATTTCATATGTTATATTGATGATCATATACTAGATCTAGGGTTTATAGTCATGGATGAATTTCATGTACAATAGAGAAACCTAGATCCAAGCATTAGGGTTTGTATGAGCACATATGATGTTCCTTTGGCCAAAAACCATCAGTGGTATCAGAGGATTGATTGGTTTCTATTGTATTGATGCCTTGTATGTTTGTTCAAGTTGCAAAATCGAGTTTTAGCCCATCTGACTGATGAACTCGGCGAGTACCACAGTGTACTCGGCGAGTAGGCCTCAACTTGGCGAGTCCAGTGTGGTACTCGGCGAGTTTGAGCGTCAGATGAAGCTATTTTTGGGATTTCTTGCTGTTTTACTCATGGATACTTGCCTTATCTGTTTTAGATCATTAAAATCCAATTTTATACATATTTATGAGTATATCCTTGATTAAACAAAAGATAATTACCAATTGATTAGATAATAACTTCCTTATATGATAAAGTTTGATTATTTGTATTAATTGGGTAACTTACTTTGCAAGAAATTGAAATTAGGTCAAATATAGATAATGATGAAATTAATTTTTTAATTTATATTATTTGTTATTTGATCCTTGTGTTATGAAAAGTTTCAATTTTCCCCTTTAGGTTTTATAGTTTAAATTTGAACTTAAAAG